TAAATAAAGTTACTGTAATGGCTGTGACTTCTAAAAAGTCTAAGGATTTCTAACATTTGAAACAATACAGAGAAAAATAGGACAACCGTAATCCAGTTTTATCCAAATCTGTTACAAAGAAATTGTCTTCTTGTGATGCAAGTTTCCATATTCCTCTTAGTGATAGACTTGTTGTTAAAGAATCCTAGCTTTCAGAGGAGCTAGACAGATTCAGCTTGCTCCACATAAGAGACTGGAGTAAATCTGCATTTCCCTATTAGAAAGAGCTCTCATCACTGAGCAGAAAAAGGTCATTGTTACCATCTGTGGTGGCTTTGTTTTTTGCAGGTTCCACTTTGCACATGAATGTTCATGTAGCAATGCCCTGCAGATGGAATAGGCAAATTAATGACTTACTTATCCACTACTAGTTGTGTAACTGTTCATCTTCAGGACAGAGGAAACCCTGTTCAGAAAGAAAAGTTTAGGCATCTAGGAAGCTCAAGCAGAAACTAAACGTGCTTGTGTGTATATTGGTGGGGCTCCAGGACTTAGGTGTTAAATGAAACAAGCAATAACTTTGAGGAGCTTAATTTTGGACCTGGGTGCTAAATATGGAAATTAAATGGAATTCTACACTGCTAAGTCTTTTTTAATCCCTCTATTGGTAAGGAGACCTCGAAGGAAATTACTGTATGTGTGCTCACGGGGAAACAAGCTGCAACAGTAAGTGATGCAGATGATGGCGGGGGGGTGGGGAAAGGCTGTATCTCCAGCTACTGCAGTAATTCCATGGTGCTGAACTTGGGAATAGTGTTCCGCACACATGTAAGAGTATGTAACACTAAGGGGTATAAAAAACTTCATCTATAAGCTAAAAGTTAGAACAAATGACAATAGTACAAGCCTCCAAGTGGCCATGTTTTGGAGCACAAGTCTTACAAGGAGCAGCTTAGGGAGCTGGGGTTGTTCAGACTGGAGAAGAGGAGGCTGAGGGGAGTCCTTATCACCCTCTACAACTGCCCGACAGGAGGCTGTAGTGAGGTGGGGGTCGGCCTCTTCTCCCTGGTAATCATAGAATGTTTTGGGTTGGAAGGGACCCCTAGAGGTCATGGGTGATAGGATGAGGGGAAATGGTCTGAAGTTGCATGAGAGCAGGTTTAGGTTGGACATTAGGAAAAATTTCTTCACCGAAAGGGTTGTCAGGCACTGGAATGGGCTGTCCAGGGAAGTGGTCGAGTCCCCATCCCTGGAGGTATTTAAAAGAAGGGTAGATGAGGTGCTTAGGGACATGGTTTAGGGGTGGGATGGCAGGGTTAGGTTAACGGTTGGACTTGATGATCTTAAAGGTCTTTTCCAACCTAGACAATTCTATGATTCTACGATTCTGTTGTCTAAATATATACTGCATGGTTCTTGAGTTTAGCTATCAGAGAAAGAAAAACAGGTATATAGTAGCCAAAGTTTGGAAAGTTAAAATACTAGTCCAGAGGAAGAAAACATGGTGAGCTATACTTTTTCTGTATTTGACTAGTTGCTTGTTTGTGCTGGTTTTGGTTAGATGAATTCTGTAAGGTTATATTTACTCCTGAGACTGCCTCTTACATCAAACATCAGAATCCTATTCTGCTCTAAGATTCATCCAATTTTGTTGTAACTCTTTTACAGAAAAAGTTGAAATCATTAGGAGCAGTGCATGCAAAATGAAGGACCAGGCTGGTCTTGAAATTGCTGGTATGATTTAGAAGTAACAGCCTACTTCTGAAGAACAGCTCCTGATTTATACTAAAACAAATTAAATTTATATCTGGGCTATATGTGTTTTATATTCTTTGTTCGATACCAATATGATTACATTAAAAACCCTTCTTGGCATCTGCCAATTTGAAAAGAAATGCTGTTAAATTTACGGTTATTTTTTATGCAGAGAGAACAGTCCATTTCTAATGTGCTAAGCGAGCACAGATTTAACAGCTGCAACTCCTATAACAAATAGGTGGGTTAAAAATGAAAGAAACAGCAAACACAACTGCAGGGAACGTTAAGATTAAACTCTTGTTGAACCAGGACTAGATACTATGGATTAATGCAAGATAAAAAGCACTAGATACTTAATGCAAGGTAAAAAAGTATAAAATACTACAATGTAGAACTTCTAAGTGTCTGAGGAGTTTGTAGTTAAGTACATTTTATAAAAAGACAAATTCAGTTTATCCCAAAATAATTTTGTGTGCATGTATGTGTGTTGTAGTGCTGTGTGTCTTCTAAGCATAATTTGCAGCATTTCAGAACTAGCATTATTTATTTTGTTATACTACTGCTTATGCAGTCACTAAAAATATTTACATTCCTATCCTTTGAAAAGAATGTGAGGTTTCAACACAGATCCATTTCTAGGAAATAACATGTTTTCATATGCAGTTAAGGACTTAACCCTGAATAAACAAAAAAAAAATCTGACAGTGATTCAGAGTCTTAAGGCTATCAAATGTTTTCCCAGTTGGAATCACTGAGAATAGGAATCATCTGAAAAGGGTAAACCCTTTTTGTTCTGCCACCATAGCTTTGTTCTGTATTCATGATAAGATCCAGGAAATACCATACTGTGCATGGTATAATTTTTCAACAAATGCAGACTTCACTTTAAAAGTAGAAAAGTAGACGTGGCTTAAGAGAAATGAACATATTATAGTCTAGCTAAAAGAAAGAAAGCTCCTAGGATGGGCAGGTTTATTATCATGTGTATGGTATTGCTCCTGAAGTAACACAGACCACAGCAATTGTAGTTTGTACTCCAGTCATTTCCTACCTTCTTGATGAGGTCTGCTTTGTAATGGATTAGTAGGTGGGACCGATCTTCCTTTGTCCCTTCTGACTAAGTCCAGCATGATTTCTTTTCAATCTTCAGTCTTTTCCAGCCTCATCTTTTTAAAATTTTTTGGCTGCATTTTTTGCTCATTTAAGCATTCCCGATTGAACAGCTTACCGATCCTGTGATTCTTACCAGTTTTCAATGGCATGCACAAACACCAGTAGTCCTCCTTCATATGCTGTGGAAGTGCTGAGGTTGCTCTTTCCTTTTAGAAAGGTTCTCACCAGTTCTGTGAAACCTTCACGGTTCCATTTGGTTTCTGATGTCACTTGGAGGGACAGGAACCCTTGAGGACCTTGGAAAACCACAGTTTCTTTCTCACTGAAGGCGGATGATGGCAAGTCCTTGCATCAAATATTCTTTTGAGATTGCTCCTTTCTCCTGCCCACTGAGCCACATGCATCAGGTCCTACCTTATACTGGCTCTTATTTTCTTACCCCAGGATATGACTAAGTATATTTTCCCTTGGTGTCACTGAAATCAGTGGCAAAAGGTGCTGACTTTCTAGGCAATTTATGGCCTGCTTTGCTAGAAATAATCATTAATCTCAAATACAAGAATTAACAGGTTTTAGTATGCAGTATTCATTTGAACTGAACTTCAATAAGATTGTATCAGCACAAACTGATAGGATTTTCCTTAAAATAGAGGTTTTTAAGCTTTGTTCATGGCAAAATAGCTGGACTTAACATTTTGACTGGACCCTGATCTAGGTATAAATAATAACCTCTTACCTCAGGTCAGAAAGAACCTATTTTACTAGTTTAAATAGACTTTGCTGTAAGTCTCAAAGCCTTTGGCCTCATTTGGTATTAAGAAATTATTTGACCATAGCAGCCCAATCTAATGTTGCTGGCAAATAATTTAACAGGCAAGTTACTTTGGTTCCCATGAGGAAATCCACAAGTCTAATTTTATTTCATATACAGGAGGGTCTTTCGAAGCATCAGTTTAACCACAGGAAATTCAATCCCTGTAAAGAATGCTAGCAATCTTTTTATTGTGAAAGCTTTGTTTATATTATTCATAAGCTAGAAATCTGGAAGCATGCTGAAAATTTTTTTTTCCTTTTTTTGCATTTGTATTCAGAAATGCCATTAGATTCGGGTTATTTAGAAAAGCAGGTTGCTCTAGTTGTTACAAAATCCGGTTTTGGGGGTTATCTTACCATTTAACATCACTATGTAGCAAACAAATAGCAAGAATGTCTGAACATGAAGTGTCTGAAATCCTAACTCTTCAATCTTACCACTTACTACCCTATTGAAAGTACCTTTAGAACAAGCATTGAAAACCTAATTCTTAAGTGTGACTGGGTAAATCACTTTGTTAGCACTCACAGAAACACTTAAGTTTATAAAAAAGCATGTTTACACCTGTGCAGCATTCTCAGCCTACAAAAGTCAGGTTTAATATCTGATTATACAGCCAGGCATAAGAATTGGTTCCTGGGTCTGGGTAAATTAATCTTTTTAGTGTCCCAACCAATTAATTGGAGGTGTAGGATTAGTCTTGATTTCACTTTTTGTTTTCAAGATTATTACTTTTCTTTAAAAATTCTTGAACATCCGGTTCTCCTCACAGTGCAGTATCACATGACTACTAATTTAAGCAAAGGGGGGAAAAAAGAAATTCAGGCAGAAACTATAGAATCAAAGGACTACAAGTGGCTTGTTTCTGATGAGAGTGTCTTCAAAGTTGCATTGATTATGCCTGATCCAGGATTTGTAACCTGAACAGTGACTGTGAAAGTGGCCCTGCAATGTCCTGCATATGCACAGAGGGTAACTGAAACTGGATGACAAAAAAACCCCGTCAATCTACCAGAAAACACTTATCCAAAGCTTTTAAAGAGGACAAAAAAATCTCAGTCACTTACCACTTTTCCAAAAATATGCAGAGAAGAAAATAAGGACACACAATCTTACCAAAGACAACGCAAGATTAACTGTTTTAAGCCTGGAGCTTTGCAGAGCTAAAGAATTGATTACAGTTTGGTAGAAACAAGCTTTTTATCATATATGCATAGCTTAATAGTTTATGAAGCAGACTATGATGCGGTTGCTTTCAACAGTAGGGAAGTGGATTTAATGACTTGCATGTCCTTGCAGTCCCATTCCTAACTAAAATTTTTCTCTTTTACTGCAGACCAGAAGATGGTGAAATTCATCCTGAAATCTGTAGACTATACATCCAGTTGCAGTGTTGCTTAGAAATGTACACAACAGAAATGCTAAAGTCCATATGTCTGCTAGGATCACTGCAGTTTCATCGGAAAGGTATTGGATTGCACAAATAGACAGATGATGGTTTTAAAAAAAGAACAGTCCTTTGGGGCATGGATGAGTATTCATGAAAGACAAAGCACCAAACTGTTAAAATTGCCTATACCACTGAAGCTTTTCAGCTACTGAAAAAAAAAAGCTATATTTCTATTCCATTATCATCATTTCACAGAAGTGTGTCACATCAGGCATGTATTGCTAATATCCTTCTAGTTAGAAGCCTGAATTGGTTTTTTTTTAAAGAGTGGTCCCAAAAGTTTCAGCTGTCATTAGTCAGATCAGTGAGCAAACTTAGTCATTTTATGAGAGGTATTTGTTGGGTATGATATTTGAGGGCAAGTGTTCGGTGGAGCAATATGGCATGGTTTTAGTGCTAAACTGATGCCTTACTATCGCTGTTGTTATCTATCCAGCAATGCCAGCTTATAGCAAAAAACGGATAAATATGGTTAAAAAAGTGTCCACCATTACAAAGGTAGATACTAGATTCAGAACTGAAATCTACTTTATAGAGTATTTCTGCACATAAAAGTCCTTGCTTCACTGAAAATGTATCTCTCTAAGAAGCTCATATTTGATTGGCCACCTACTAAAAGGAAGATGTACAAATGCAGGTAATTCTCTGAATGGGTTACTTGGTAACCTTATTGCTCAGTGATGGCACACACTGATTGGGGCTGTGCCTGTGCTAATTGTAACTAGTCTTTCCCCAGATAATATCTCAGCATAATATACTAGGTAAAGACAAAATTCTGTAATGAACTGTAATGAAGGTCTTGTAATGAACCTTACGTATTTCCTGTCATGCTGAAAGATCCCATAATGTATTTTACACATCTAGCTGTAGGATACAGCTAAAGCCAGTGACATTTTTATTATGAAAATAAGAATTAAAGGTCTATAACTGCTCAGTTGAGCTTCTCAGCAATATTATCAAGTCAAAACCAAATCTATAAAATAGGGAGAGACAGAGTTAACAGAGCCACCATATAACAAGATGTCAGAAGCTGCTAAAATGAACCATCTTTTTTTAAGGTAGATTGTACTGCATTTCCTAGCATTGGCTACAGTTGTCAAACCACCTTCTGTAATTGCAGACAGAAGCTAGCTTCAGGTGACCTGAGTAACCCTGATATGTCTTGTCTCTCCCTTTTGCCTTTGGATGGAATCTACATTAATAACTTAAACTAACCATCAAACTATTAGATGTCTAAAGTTAGATAAGATGAATTACAGCATTATAGCATGGGCCAGCTTAGTTCCTGTCTGGCAGTGATTTTGATATATATCGGGTTTTCATCTCACCATCGAGCAAGTCATGGTAGCTATTCTGCCATTGCTCAAAAGAGTAATTTTTGTCCTGTATCCATATAGAGGTAACAACAGTAACTTGGCTCCAAGTTTCTGTGACATTCTTTGAGAAAAATTCATAATAGGCAAAAATGATAGCATCACAGGGATTTGAATAATTTGAATTTTGGGACTTAGCCAACAGAACATTACTCTTGTATATTAAATACTTGGTATGTACATCTAGAAGTATTGTAAAGGCATCATGCAACAAGGGAAATTCCAGTTACATGTTAATTATTTTTTCACAGTGAAGATAATCATATACTAGAACAGCCGCCCAAAAAGGCTGTGAAATCTCCATCCTTGGAGATACTGGTATAGCCTTGAACCCAATGCAAGTTCGCCCTGTTTTCAGTAGAGTGTTGGACTACATGACCTTGGAACCTATTTGTTCTATGTTATGCCCAATCATACTATTTTTCAAGGAGTAGAATGAACCCATATGTTTATTTAATTTCATTACTTAATGGAAAATGGTACTGCAGTGTAGGCAAAGTGCATGAATTTGTCTCGAGGAATTAAAGACCTGGTAATTTCACCATTACAAATATATTGTGCTGTTGCTAGTATATAGCTTTTTTACTTTTTCACCTGTTTAGTTTTTCACCAATTTTTCACCATCTGAGTTGACCATATTAAAAAAAATAGCATTTTCCTTGTGTATTAAGACTAGAACCCTTAGAAATTTTGCTTATTTCATAAATATTCATGTCTGGTGTTCTTGCTGTGTCTTGAAGCTCATTTTTGAAGGTAGTATTTTCCATTTGGATGTAATATTTTCCAATTTTTAGTCCTCTTACCTGTTGGATAAGTGGTTTGTAAGGTTTTTAAATCTCCCATGAGGTTTCACCAATTTATGTTCTTACTTGGGAGCCAGCAGAGATTCAAGTAAAGTGACATGCAAGCTGTTCTCGGCAACCCACAGCTAATAAATAATGATGTGGGTACTGGTATCTTGACCAGTCGTTATCAAACAAACTATAGAACTGATAAAGGTAAGGCAATGCTGATGTTCTCCCAAAAGAAACTCAGCCAATGCTCCCTGCTGGGAAACAGATGCTCTAGAAACACCACTCTACAATTTGAAGGGCTGAGCTCTGGGTATTTTCACTGTCTTTTGCGGCACTGATCTTCTCTCTCTCCTTATCTTTCTGTTGTACTGGACAAACTTTCCTATATATACTGCAGAGTATATATCAAGCTTCCTGCACAGAAATTTCTTGCATATTTGCAGTGCTTTAAATTAACTTACTCCTGTTATACAACCTTTGCTAGAAAAGTCAGATAGTCTGTTATTTCTTTGAGATGTAATAGTCACAGTGGGGCCAAAAACCATAAATATTTCCAGCTGTGTTATGCAGTAAGTAAACTGAGGTAAGTGGTCTCTAATACATTTTTTTCTAAGATACATACACCGCAAAACCCCAGTGTTGAAAATACGTTATGATTGCAAAGTTGAACATTCAGAAAGTTTGCAAAGGACACAATGAAACATGCCCAAAAGTAGCCTTAATTCAAGCTTTTTGTAGTTACTAAGTCTTTGGTTACCTGATCATATATTTTATTACTCCTCCTTTTCACGTTCCTAAGAGTTCTGGCTAACTAACAGGCATGTAAATATTTACTTGGGCATATGTCTTTCTTTTATCCTAATTGTTCAGTCTCATGCATTGTATTTATTGCACACAATTCTGTTCTGAAGGCAGAATCCTTCTGTCCCTCAGACCTTTCTCGGTAGCACATACACTGATGGGAGTGTCTTCAGAACTGCCTTGAGTAGTGTGGTACTAGCAATTTTTGCCATTGTAAAGAAGGAACAAAGACAGACTAAGCTAAAGATTCCTAATTTAGAATCTGAGATTGCAGCATACTTTATGCAGTGCTGTATGTGTTTATAGAGCAATTTTTCAGTAGCTTAATTTGCAGCTGAGTGCTAAGAGTCTCTGCATTGAGCAACTAGACAATTAGAAATACTTCGTCATTAACTGTTTTGAGGAACTGGGTTTAAGCAACTTGGATAGGATCACATGGAAACTTTGGGTAGTTATAGAGTCCAGTTTTCAGGGCAGCACTGAGAGAAACTCTCCTATGTCTTCCTGTGGTCCCTGACACTGGGCAGATACGGCAGATGGCAGCTCATGTTCCAGCTCTTCCAGGAAATCTTCTTGAACTTCTCACTGCATTTGTTCACCTAGTTTTCTTCTGCATCCTTATCACACTCTGGCAGAACTTCTCTGGACAGAATCATCTTTCTCAGACTTTGTAAAGTAACACATGAGTTCACAGACCTAAGACCTGTAGGTTCTCTCCTCATCTTGGTTTTGCTTTTTTTGTTCCCCTCCATCATTTGAATTCTATAGCTTTGTGCCTTAGGGAGCAGCGTCAAACAGAGTTCTTAAACCTAGTAATACTTTTTAAAATTTGAATTAGAGTTTCACGGAAAGTAAGATATTCTGAAGGAGCTTAGTTACCTCTCTGAATTGTTTACAAAATTCAGCTCTAATTCCTTTAAATGTTGTATGCCTGCTTTATTGACATTGCATGTTCTCAACAACTGTTTTTCTGATTAAATAAGCAAATCCTGGCTTAGCTAGCAAGGTCTTAGAAGAAGTAGTTGACATAATTTCTGTCCATGAACGTGCTGGATGTGATTACCTTTTCCCAAATTAATTCTGAGGTTGTAAGGATCCCACACTGAGAAAACCCAGAACTACCTCAGAGTTCTTAAGTATTCTTGAGCATACATTGCTGTATTCAGCCACAAATATTTGGGGGTCAAAGCTTTTCACCAATGCCTTATAAAGAACTTCATTGTATTTTTAATATGCAACCATAACAGGTAAAAGAGCTTTGCAGATTCATATAACCGCAATAGTAATATATTCCTTTCATTGTAAGGAACTGTAAAATATTGCTATTATCACTGGATCATCATAGCATGTCACTGTGGAAGTGCGCATTACTGAAGTTTAATGTCTGTATGTGTTTGCACAGAAACCATTAATTTCTTAGGATCATCTACAGATAATTGACTTTGATTATATAATTACATATATTAGAAAATATTTTTTAAAATCCTAAGTTGCAGATTGCAGATAGCTAGCTGTGCACCATTTAAGTAAGGAACTCATTTTAATAATTAATGCAGTAAGTCCTTGTAACAAATCAACAGCAAGAGGGGACAGTTAAAATGAACTGGAGATGTTTTCCTGAGTTCAAAATGTGCTGTAAAAACAGTTAAAGCTACCTAGTCAAAGAAGTGCAAGGTTTGAACTGGTAGCCATTTATGCTGAATTTGAACAATGTAAGTCACTGCTCATGTATAGGTATAAAAATGTATTTGTTCTTATGGTCCAGAATCAGTACAATCTGCTGTATTGTAGTCATTTTAGTAGAATTTGAATATCTATAAGAAAAAATTAGTTCAGGATACATTAGATTCCCGGAATCTTACAGTTTCTTGTGTGAAATGGTCTTAAAGTCTTATTTTTTCCTGTGTCTTTTTTTTCTAAATGATGTGTTTATCAGAATAAGATGCAAAATACTTTAATGCTGTAACCTACATATTGTTTATTCTTACCATAAACCTATTTGGAAGCCCTGAAGAACAAGTTACTGTTCAGTCACTATAATTGACATCTGTGGGTCCCATCTGATTCGTATAAACATAGCTGAGTGCAGAAGGATACCAGCACTAACCAGAGTGGTAGGTACCTCAATACTTAAGTAAAAAAAAGGGAAGAATTGAGTCTTAGGGGAAAATCATATGTGCATACTATGGACAGTAAACATTAGGCTTTTGTGATGTAAATTCAAACTGAACTTAGTCCTGTACTATCAGTACAGCAGAATGACATCAAATCACAGATAACAGTGTATCGTGTACCACACAAGAAGTTCATAGCATAATTGTTGTTTCTCCAGTATATGTTTTGTTATAAGAACATACATTTCCCTAAAATAGTACCTACAAGCCTGTGGTAGCTTATATTACAGATTACAAAAATAAACCCTCAGTTCAGTGAAGGGATTTTTGTTCTATTTGGCTTTGTTTGAATTACATCTATTTAGAGTTTTGAAGGAGAGAGGAAGGATTGTTTAACAGATGTGCTACAATCTCAGCACTATTTAAAGACTGGTAGATTTGTGTAATTACATAGGCATACTGCTTACATAAGAGGGATAAGATGTGAGACCAGAGAAGCACACAGGTGTGAAGAAACAAGCACTTAGAACTTCCAGAGAGTCACCCATTCTCACGTGGACACTGTGAAGAGGCCAAAATTAATAGAACAGAAACAAGCATGGAAAGAGGAGCACGCAACTTCTACCACAGACCTGTTGTTTATACTGCATTTTGCCTAATAACAACATTTCCAGTGAGACAGTCTCGTGAGTTTTGCAGTCCCCAAGTGTAAGCCAGGAATTAATTTCACCAGGCCGTTAGCCGTATTTGCCACATCTCTTTTTTACTTCCTGCACAATTCTTTCCTATTCCCCTTTTTACATTCTCCTTTTCATTTACTTTAGCTGTGATCTATAGCTTGTGCATTTATCCTTAATTGCCAGGTTAGGAGCCTGATGCAAACGCTGCCTTCTTTTTGAGAGATGGGTTCTCTCGGCTTTGTTAAGTTCTGTTACTCCCCTCAAAGATCCTGCCAAGTCATCTCTGTGAAATCTAACCAGCTCAGGAGGGGCCTACAGAAGATGTTTCTTTCACTACATAAGTTTCCCTGGGAAATACCTGATGAGTGAGAGTAGGCGCATAGGGTGACATGATGGAAACAGAGAGGTCGCCACAGAAACAGTAAGGAGCACAACAGGTGAGGCATGTAAAGCACAGTGGTCACCGATGTCGTCTGCAGCCTTACTGTACTGATCTTTTTCCACCCTCTTATTTATCCTCACTCAAGCTTGATCTTCAGCGTTATTTAATTCAATGAATTTAATTTCATACCAAAGGTATTTACCACTTCTTAAAGTAAAAAAAAAATGTGCTGAATTAGAGGCTAGAAGACAAGAAATACATCATGCTTTGTATTAAAAGTTCACAGTCAAAAGAGCCTCTATCTAGTCAACTGGCAAGAACAGCAAGTGTATGTGGACACCTCTGAAGACACTGTGTGCATGATCAAACTCCAATTTAATGAAAGTCTTTCCACTGACTAAATTGAAAGTAAAATTTAGGCTTCATATCCCTATGTTAAGAATGTGCAATACAAAAGATATCATTACCACCAGTAGAAGGATGGGTAGATTAAAGAGGTTTTGTTCCTCTACAGGCTATGCCGTGTAGTAGAAATGTTAAGCCTGAGTCATATACATTATTCAAGCAAAGCCTTTATTATTAGCTGACTCTCTAACTGTTTTAAAGTGATTGAGCAGATGCTCTGAAATTCAGGAAAGCTTCATGAATTGTTCACAATACAACGGAATTACTGGTAGAGCTTTTTTCAGTTGAAATCTGTGCTGTTCATTCTGCTAAATCTGCAAGAGCTTGCTTTTGTGCTAACAGAAAGAACGTTACAGTCTCAGTGCTTCTGTTGCCAAGTTGCGAAAAAGAACCTTGTCATTTCACCTGCCATTGTTATTGTTTCCATTGAAACACCCTTCACATCCCTGAAGGATGCATCTATAGACAGGGTTGTTCTTGACAGCTTGTCACCAAAGGTCAGGTCAGAGTACCAGCATAATACTTAAAAATAATGGGAAAATTAACTAATACCCAGTTCCAGCAGTAACACCTTGTGATATCAGTGGCAAATTGGATGGTTTCGCTGGGGCAACCCTCTTCTACAAAGAAGTGGCAAGTGAGATATTGGTAACAGTAGGTAGTATTATGAGCTCCTCGTAATGGGGAAAATAATGAATAATGAGCCTTATACAAATGAACAATTGAAATTGTACAATATGAACTACCTTAAAGTAATGGCAAAAGCCTCGGTTAAGAACTAGAAGAATTTGAAAGCTATAGCTGCAGGGTGATACAGAGTAAAACATCTAATCTGGGAAGTAGGCACAGGCTTCTGTTCCACAAGCAGTGGAGTCAGCATAGTAGCTTGTTGCCACCAGAAAGATCTTGATCCTTTCCTCGCTATCTTCCCTCCTTTTATCACGCCTTCATTTTTCCTCCCTTCACTGCTTCTGGCCGTATGATCATCCTTCGCCTCTGGCACTTGCTCTGGAACATGTAGGGTTCTTCACTGACCTGCCTTAAATCACTGCAACATCAGAAAACTTTATATTTTATTTTTCCTTTTATTGAGGTAATCTTCTAACATTTGGTGCGTTCAAGTGGCTCCCGGAGGGACCTGGCAAAGCACAAGTTAGCAGCGGATGCCAAAGTAAGCAGCAGAGAAGGGACACAAGACATCATTCTTTTATAGATTCTTCTATAAATTACAAACTTGACAGGTCATGCAATCTCTTGGAACCATAGTTAGATGACTTAGTTCGGAGGGAAGCAGGAAAAAGGGCTTCCTACTGACTTTAGCGAGTAACAAAAACATGAAGCAAGTATCTTCTGTAGTATAAGTAATGTCTAGTTTGACATTCAGACAAGTAGCTATGAATATTTTTTTTTTCAGCAAAGGAATAATTTACCAGAATGCAACAATTTAGAGAATCTGCCCGAAAAGAGCTTCTTAAGATCCAGGATTTGCTAGTTTTTTAAAAAGAAAAAAAACAACACCAACACAAGTTTACAAGTCTCATAGCAGGGACACTTATTCGTGTTACGGAAGAGCAATATAGCATGGTCTGCAATTTTGGTGTCCCAAAAAAATGGGCTAAATTACCACTCCTCTGTTAGCTGTTCTTGTTCCTCGTGTTTGTTGGTAAACCTTATAGGAACTACTCGGGTTTGTCCTGGTGTGAAAATTTCTCAAATTGCAAAAATCGTGAGATGAAAAAACATTTCCTGTTCTAATCCTCATACCGCTGGTTTGAACACTTACATTTTTTTCTCTATTTTTAGAAAGTTTTATTTGTTTCTTTTCAAGAGTGTTTACTCCATTTCATGAGAGAACTCAGAGGGGGAAAAACTTTTAACTTCTCAATAATGTGTCTGGGATGCACTCCAATTTGAATTTTCTCATTTAAATGTTTTTGGCATCAGGACTGTACTTGCCACTACAGAAAAGGAGTACCATCAGACAGTCCACAGGAGGCTTGCAAGGATACCAAAAAATCCCACCAGTACTTAACTCTCTTGCATGCTCCATTATCATGGTCCACATCTTTTATCCCATTCTCTCCCTGACAAAATCCCTGGCAGATCTGTCATGAAGCCCCCATCAAATTCCAACACTGCATTTCATTTTCATATAGTGAGCATGAATTAGGCAAGTGTAAGCATGGAAATTCAGAATATAATGCATGTTGGGCTGTGAGTGGTGGCAACTATGTATTGATTTTAAAATCACCGAGTGCAAAACTGCACCTTTTTGTCTTTTGTGTTCTCTTCATATTGCTGTAATACTAGGAGACATGGATTGTAAGGTTCTTCAGTGCCAAAGTTTTTGAAGTTGTTTTCAGAATGTATGCTGCAGTTTCCTTACTTTGTTTTGTTTTGTCCTCTGGCTCTTACTTTGTGTCACATGTGAGTCACTGGAGTTTAACGGAAACCCTTCGTAATACTCGCTGTGTAAAATTCTAAGTGCCACACATGCCTGCGTGGGACTTCTCTTAGTTTTGTTTGGTGGGAGGGATGTATAGCAGCACTCTGATGAGCAGATTGGTGTGGTCTGCTCTCTTTCTGAACAGTTCTTACTCAGAGTTTGTACTCGCCACCCTCTCTCTTAATTTATATTGTGCAAGATCAAGGTCAAAACATCAATGATACAATCTGAGTATACATTTTAATTAATAAATAATGGGGATATATGTTTTGTTTAAATATTTTAAAGGAAAAGAACCTTGTGCCCCACCCAAGATCCTAGATGCTAAAGTGGAGGAGAGTTCCGAAGTACCTATTTTAGAAGACACATCATCATCACCAACAGATCTTCAACAGCATTTATGGCAGGTTTCCACAGATATTGAAAACACTGAAAGGTATGTGTAGCACTTCATCCTTAAAAAAAAACCAAACAGATTTCTGTCTGGGGTTTATTTAGTCTTTTCCAATTAGGCAGACAGTGTTGCTACTGCTAAAGATACTAATAAATTAAATAACCTGTTAACATTTCTGTTACATTTAACATGTTTGAGAGCAACTCCTAAAAGAAGGGCAGAGAAGTGACATCCTTAACTAGGCTGGTTACCAGAGGGTAATTGTCAAAAAGAAAGGGTGGGAAATGATGTTGCTAGGGGCCAGGTTCTCTAAAAGAGGCAGCTTTTGTCTCATCTTGAGAAGTTCCTGATTTTGTGCCTGAAATCTGCTGTCCTGTGGTTCTGCATTCATAAATCAAAAGCGCAGAATCTAGTTCGTGTCAGTTGTTTCTGCCCATAGTTATGAGTGTGGAAGCCATAGGAAGAGAGGGGAACATCATCCACAGGTTTGTTGAAGTGGACTTCTCTTACCCCCTTAACTGTGCAGTTGAAAGACAAAAATGAGACCCTTTAGTAGGGAGTAATCCTTAAGGCAAACATTTCTTTTCAAAAAATACCTATTTTGACAGCTTTGTATATTAAGCTGCTGCTGAGATTTCAATGGTTACCATGTTTATTTATATAAAAAGTTCTGTTCTACTGAGATAGTAACGTGAAGAATAAAACTGAGCAATTTCTTATTAGTCATAGAATCATAGAATCATAGAATGTTTTGGGTTGGAAGGGACCCCTAGAGGTCATCTAGTCCAACCCCCCCTGCAGTGAGCAGGGACACCGCTAACTAGATCAGGTTGCTCAGAGCCCCGTCCAGCCTGGCCTTGAATGCTTCCAGGGATGGGTGCTCTATTATCTCTCTGGGCACCCTGTTCCAGTGTTTCACCACCCTCATTGTAAAGAATTTCTTCCTTATATCTAGTCTAAACCTACCCTGGTTTAGTTTAAACCATGACTTGCCTAGTCATGCTGCTTCATTTCTAAAAACTACTTACATGAAGATGAATGAGGCAAGACCACATTGTTTTTAAATGCTGAAAGCCTTAAGACATTACAGGCCTGCACACAAAATTGCTTGTCTGCCATCTGTCTATAAAACAGGAACCTTTTTGCAACTTCTGGCCTCCCTTAATGCATATCCAAATGTAGCTTGCTTTGTGAGATGATATTTTGTTATCATATTTTAGATCTTCTGCCTTTTAGAAAATGTCATGCCAAAGTCGTCCTAAGAGAGGTTTTCACTTAATGTGCTTAGGTGTCATGGATTAGCTACATGCATTATAATTTCCTTCTGAACAGTGAAGCACATTTGTGGCACGAGCTCCAAAATGCTGATAAGAGGTATTAAGTTGACATTAGTACTAGCTTGTGCTAATTTTAAGGCATATTGTGTATTTTGCCCCTAGGATCACATTGTGCCCACCAACTCATTTAATGTGGAATACTCAAGTGCCAGAATCATAGATTTGGACTAGATGTGACTAGTTAATATCAGACTGGCTTAAAAGTGCTCCCTTATTAAATCTACTGCCCTTTATTTTGGTATGTGTCTTCTGATAAATACATGTGAACCAAATGCTTGCCCAATAGATTTTTGTATTTATTGCTCCATTATTTCAGCATATAAAGCTATGCTGTGAGCCATTCCCCATTCAGTCTTCAACTGCTGTTCTATTGTATCTCTTTCAACTTTTGTTTCCACAGAGATATGAGAGAAATGAAAAACCTTTTAAGTAAACTCAGGGAGACTATGCCTTTACCACTGAAAAATCAAGGTAGGTTTTGTATTTTCTTCATGTAAGGAAAATTAAGATAATTAAAGATTTTGCCTTCCATTAGATCCAAAAAACCTATGGTTTTTTTATAGAAGTTACAAAAAGAAAAATCTAGGTGAAGTCTCTTCCCTTCTGATTCAGTGGAGCCAGAATTTAATGTGTGAACTTTGGCCTCTCGAGTTTCACATGAGGTATTCTAAAATTTTATAGGTATGGTGCCTATAGATAAAATAATAGACTTTTCCTGGTGACATGAAGGCAGCAGCACAACTAATTCCCTGTGTCTGGAGGCTTTCTTTTTCAAAGGTAATGAAGGTGTAACTTGCATGGACTGTGAGAGGGATCCTACTGAGTGATGGGGTTTGCTTTACCCCTTCAAGGCTCGTAGCTTCTATGACATGACACCAACCGTGTGCTGACAAGGTACTTGCCTTGAGTCTGCTAACAGCCTGCTTTTCCCAAGTAGCCAGCTATAAGGCACTGTATACAAATGCACAGGAGGGAAGGATCTCTGTCTTATGCATGTATTTAGCAACGGACCTTCATTTTGTGGCCCCACAATGTTAAATATTTCACATATACAGGGATTCTCTTTCTTCATGTGAACATCTAAAAGATAATAATTTTTCTTTTTGATTTCTTCTTGATAATGTGTGTTTCTTAAATGCTGTGTAGTCTTTGCACAGTGGCAGCTGAAGTATAGAATCATAGAATGTTTTGGGTTGGAAGGGACCCCTAGGGGTCATCTAGTCCAACCCCCCTGCAGTCAGCAAGGACACCGCTAACCAGATCAGGTTGCTCAGAGCCCCATCCAACCTGGCCTTGAATGCTTCCAGGGATGGGGCCTCCACTACCTCTCTGGGCAACCTGTGTCAGTGTTTCACCACCCTCATTCTAAAGAATTTCTTCCTTATATCTAGTCTAAACCTACCCTGGTTTAGTTTAAAACCATTACCCCTTGTCCTGTCACAGCTGGCCCTACTAAAAAGATTTTTCCCATCTCTCCTATAGGCCCCCTTTAGATACTGAAAGGTCGCAATCAGGTCTCCCCGCAGCCTTCTCTTCTCCAGGCTGAACAAGCCCAACTC